TATTGTATTTATATTATTAATATAAAAATAATATTATAATAATTATTAAATCAGTATCATAGTTAAATGTTTAAAGTAATCCTTATATGTTTATATTAAATTAAAATAAATATAAAAACATGTTAAACATGTTTTCGTGTCATGTCATGTGTTAAATGCGTTTTTGAGTAACACGTTTTATTTAAACATGTTTTTCTTGTCTTATACATGTTAACATGTATAAGACAAGAATTGTGTTGTGTGAAAATTTGTGTTGACATGAATAAACACGAAACATATATTTTTTAAAACACATATGATTTTTTCATATTATTTTCATATCATATCATTATGTCATATAAAAAATTTTTAGGTTTACATTGAATGTGTCTAAACAAATGCAATCACCTGAGTTGCAACAAGAACCCACATTTATAGAAATTTTCAATCGCACTCACAAAAGTTCAGTAGGATGTGGTGACTTCGTTGACAACAAGTTCAGCGTTGTCAATGTCTGTGACTTTTAAATGACTGAATAATGATGAAATTATTGCCTTGCTTTATTGAAATAAATGATATCTTATGTGTTTTGTGATGCAAAGGCTATGAAATCATGAAAATTGTTGCGTAATTTGCTTTGTGCTTCTAGTTGTATAGTGTGATAAAGGTTGTGTGGTGTGATTATTGATCAAGTATTGCATTTTTTGCATTATGATGATGGTTGTGTATTTTGATTATTGATGAAATATGTATGTTAATAATATATTACGATAACTACTTATTTGTGAAAGGTTTTTGCATGTCATCTAGATGAGATCACATTTGTGAAAGGTGAAAATTTTTGTATATTTTCGTTTATGATTCTATTTGTATATTTTGATTGTTAATGAAGTATATAGTGAAGTAATTGAAAGCAAAGACATTGTAGGAAATCTTGTATTGAAGTATATAGTTTAGTGTATATTGAAATGCAATGAATTTGTAAAATGTGAAAATTATGCTTAAAGTTGTGAATTGTTTGAAATTGTTAATTGTTTAAAGTTGTGATATTTTAGTGAACTATATAGATCTTGTAGTAATGATTATTGTTTTAGACTTTTTGTAGGAAAACTATGCTGTTGCATTATCTTAGAAATACGATGAAGACTATTCCAATCATCTAGAATTTGATCCACAAGTATGGACTGAAGCTATTAGAGGGGTTGAAGCTACATGCACTCATGTGCTTGGCTTTGGATCAACATATAGATCTAGGGGCTTCCTTCATTCAACTTAATCTACTGCTATAGTAGGGTTATCTAACTTTGTTTGTGGTTCATTATCTTTGCCTTCTCAGACTTATCAGCTTCAGATAGAAGAACGAATTGATGAGTTGAGAACTAAGCTAAGACTTGAGCTTAGATCATTCATAGAGCAGATGATGCAATTGATAGGGTCTAGACAGACTCCAACATCACAATATTCTAAACCTGATGATGGCATTAGATATTCTAAATTAGGAGGTGCAACAGTAGTATAGTGACATATTCTGTTGGATTTGTATAAGGTATTGGATGGATGGATGGATGCTATGGATATTTTATGAATTGATATTTTATGATGTTATGGATATTTTATAGATGTTTGATGAATGTTGGATGATTTATTTGATGGATGTTACTTTGATTTGATATTTTAATTAATAATAATAGCAAATTTAAATAATTACACATGTTTAAATTGTAATTTACAAGGTTTGGAAATAATTATAGGTTTTTTGAATAATTATAAATCTTTTTATTTAAATTATTTATGAATTTGTACTTTTACTAACGAATTTACCGATAAAATTTTACTATTATCGATGGAAAAAATTATTTTATGACTATTTTTATGGTTATTATTGATAAAATTTTACTATTATTGATGGAATTTTAATTATTATTGATGGATTTTTTTATTACTGACCAAAAAAATCCATTATCGATAGATTTATTGACAATTTTACCAACGAAAAATTTCGTAGCTAATTATTGATGAAAAATTTTATAGGTAAAATTGTCGCCAATAAATTAGTCGGTAATTACAGATGGATTTTTTGTCGGTAATTACTGATAAATTTTAAGCATTACCGATAGAATAATATTACCAATATAGTTAACATCGACAAAATTATTTCGTTGATAAAACCATCAATAAAAGTATTATCGATGGATTTTTAGCTTTTATCGATAGAAAATTCTGTCGATAAAGCCCATTTTTTGGTAGTGTTATTCATCTTTAAATTATGAGAATAAATATATCATACTTATTATATATATATATATATATTACTTTTACTCTTTCATTAAACTAGTGCATGAGAATTTCTTATATTAAAATTCTTATATTAGGGGCAAAATGTAGATATTTCATTTTGATTACTAATATTTTATTCTTTTAAATTTTTCTAAAATTGTTAAAGTTAAGGATAAGTCAAAATAGGTGATTAGAATGTTTTAGTAAAGATTATTTGACAGAATAGCTAGTCATGGAACAACTCTTTCACAAAACAGTTATGTACAGAACAACACCTTCATGGAACAACTTCCTCAAGGAATAACACCAACACCTTTATCGAAAACTCTTTCACTAAAAGTTGCTTCACTAAGGGTTATTCCATAAAGATGTTTCACCGAATGTTATTTCACTGAAAGTAAAAAGTGAAAATAACCCTAGAATATGATAGGGTTATTGAGTTAATTTCATCATTGGGATGTTTCAAAAAACTTAGTTTGGTGGATCAGATATAAAGATAGTTAAGAGGTTTCCTCTTAACCTTTTATCGAGATATGAATGTTCCTCTTCCTTTTTTTTTTCAAAATAGATAATGAACTTCTATGTTCACCATGACTGTCACCAAAAGCTAATTAAACTCTCATTAACCAATATATTAACATATTTTGTAACAGCTAGTTCCCCCATTATTTACCATTATTCATATTTAATACATTAACACTTTTTATAATTGTCAATTTCATCATTATTAATATTCAATATTTAAGATATATAACTCCTATTCTTGAAACTTATAAATAGGAGTTTCCACAATTTATTGGAGGACTTTTGGAGATTTCTAGCAAATTTACTCAATTCTCTCTTCCTATATTCTTTTTTAGCCTTATTTTCTTTTCCTTACTTAGCCTTGCTTCACCACCTATTACCACATGCTAGATATCATTGCACTTAATACCTCAAAGTATGCTCCAATCTTCCTTTCTACCATCTCCCGGCACACTATTAGATATTGACTCAAATTCTAATTGGGAATTAGTTTGAATTCTAGTGAAATTCTATTAGTTAAAGAATTACTTGATAATTAAGAATAAATATTCTTAATGAGTAAGAGTTCTTAGTAAATAGAAATTCTTGGTGATCAAGTAATGGAGTTTTAAAAAATATAAAGTAAGTATTAACTTTTAGAATTATGAGAGAGAGAGTTATAAGATCTCCATATGAGTAAGTCTGTAAGGATGTGAAAAAGAGTTTGTTTGAAAAAACACCAGTTGAATGGGATAAAGGATATTCCATAGGTTATACACTTGGGAGCATGGAAATTAGGATTGTTTCAAGGGCTCGAGATTAGTGTTTATTTATGGTGGTTTTTACTCTTTGTAATCTCTACGTTTTTATAGTGGATTTTCTCTCTTATTCGTAGATGTGGGCAATTGAGCCGAACCACATTAAATTTTGCCTCTTGTGTGTCATTAATTTTGTGTTGATCTCATTATGGAATTTGTTTATACTTAAAAAAATCCCAACAAGTGGTATTGGAGTCAGGTTGCCAACATCTCCTCATGAGCCAGGCATAAAAGATTTCTTCTATAGCCCAATGTGTGAAATGGAGAGATTGTTAAGGTTATCCCACATTGATTGTTGCCAACATCTCCTCATGAGCTAGGCATGGAAGTTCTCTTTTACGACTCGATGTGTGAAAAGGGAGATTGTTGAGGTTATCCCACATCAATTGTGGAAGGGGATTTGTTGTTGTAGATTGTGTTTGTAAGATCAGAGACATGCAAGAGAATATGTTGCAACAAGGCATTAGTTGCATGTGGACTCAATTGGGTAAAGTTGATTTGGCTGCACATGAGTACTAACCATCTTGTTTGAATCTAGTGGAGTCATCATTGATTCAACCATGTGTGGTTGGGATTTATTGAAGGTTAATGTTGTGGTAGAATTTGTGTCAAGGTAGAGTTTTGTTAGATATTGACTCAAATTCTAATTGGAAATCAGTTTGAATTTGGTGAAATTATATTAGTTAAAGAATTACTTGATCATTAAGAATAAATATTCTTAATGGGGTAAGAGTTCTTAGTAAATAGAAATTCTTGGTGATCAAGTAATGGAGCTTTATAAATATAAAGTAAGTATTAACTTTTAGAATTATGAAAGAGAGAGTTATAAGATCTTTATATGGGAGATAGGTGTAAGGATGCAAAAAATAGTTTGTTTGGGAAAACACCGGTTGCATGGGATAAAAGATATTCCATAAGTTATACGCTATGGAGCATGAAAATTAGGATTGTTTCAGGGGCTCAAGATTAGTGTTTATTTATGATGTTGTGTACTCTCTGTAATCTCTATGTTTTTTTTAAATGGATTTTCTCTCTCATCCGTGGATGTAGGCAATTAAGCCGAATCATGTTAAATTTTACCTCTTGCGTGTGATTTATTTTGTGTTGATCTCATTGGGAATTTGTTTCTGCTTAAAAAAATCCCAACTCACACCTTGTTCTATTTATTTGCAACATTTCCTCAACTCACCAAAGAACCCATTTACAGGCAGTTTTGTGAAATCATCGGTTATCCACTGATTCTGCTAATAAATTTGTTATATTTTGACAATGAACTAACCATCAGTCAAAATGCTGTCACCTGTGGGCTAAGTACTTGGGAATCAGTCTGAATATTTTAAAAGGGAGAGACATATAAGAGTAAGCTTGTATATAGAATAATGTTGAATAAAACTATCATAAGTTCTAAGAAAAACAGGGGATTATCATATTCTATCAGATCTTTGGAAAGCTGTAATTGAACTGCAAATGATTGTTTTCCTTGGTTAAAAAGATTTGAAAAAAATGAAAAAAAAAATCATTCAAAATTTGAAGTTAGTGCTCATTAACTTTATTGAAGATAACAATGTGCAAAGGAAGTTGCATATCATTGTTATAGGGAAGCACTGTAGAATTTATGGAGTAATATTACAGCAGAAACTAGTCACTATAATCCAACAAACTGGAAACAAACAGTAACCTAAAAAACAACGATGTTTAATGTATAACAATATAGGATATCCTACCGGACTTGAAAAATCTCCCTTCTTGAATTCTTATCAAGAATGTCCCATTTGCCAATCTGTTAGAAATAGGCCTCCCTTGGAGTATCCTTACTGCAACACATAAAATCTGGTCATAATTGTTAAAACTTGTTAAAGAAATTAAGATAAAAAAAAAGCAGATATTTTTTGTTAGAAATATCGAAACTCACCTAAGAGTATTAGTTGTGTTGTTTTCTTCCTTGTCTTCTTCGGTTTTTCCCTGTAATATATTTTTGCAGAACTCTTTCAATGATCCTAATGAACCACCATGGTTTTCCAGTTGTAAATACAATGTATCCCATGCTCAGTCCCAGCACCAATCCGCATCCATAACCCATCAATATAGAAAATTTCCAATTCAATTCTCTTGTGGTATCATCATCTTCATCAAACTTTATTGGATGAGTTTCCGAATTCTGATCATCATCGCATTTTTTTGATAAAGGAAGTCCACATAAACCCAAGTTCCCAATGTAGGAATCATTTGAGAAAGTACCAAACTGATTGCCTTGAGGAATCTGTCCCACAAAATGATTCTGAGATAGGTTTAATACCTCTAAGAATATCATATTCACTAGTTCTTGAGGAATTCTTCCTTGGAGCTTGTTTGACGAGAGATCTAATGATTCAAGTGCTGACAAATTCCCTAACACTGATGGGATAGAACCTGTTAAACTATTGTGAGAAAGGTTGAGGACTAAAAGGGAATGAAGTTCTCCAAGTACTTCAGGAATTTGTCCAACGAATCGATTACTTGAAAAGTCTATTGCTGTGAAAGTGGTTAAGATGTCAATGAATTGTAACTCCAACCCTTTCGTCGTAATCAATACTGAGTTATCATAAAAACGATCTTCATCATATAAATCTATCATGTACTCTGCTTTCCTTTTGTTCGCATCTCTTATAGCATGCAAATTTTCGAAAAATTTCATTGGTAAGTAGCCAATGAAATCATTATGGGAGAGATCAATGATCCGCAAATGAGAGAACGAAGATGTAACTTCAAAATTGTCTATCCGACCATAGAATCTATTAGATCGCAAGACAAGAATTTCTATATCCAAAATTCCTAACCAATGGGGAAAAGTGTCATTTAAGTTGTTGTTTGCTACATCTAAAAGTTTCAAGTCTCTACAATTAACCCAAGATCGTGGTAGTGACCCTTTCAGCTGGTTGCTATTCAGGTTAAAATTTCTTAATGAACAACCTTCAGAAAAATTTCCTGGTATTGTACCATGAAAATTATTCATCTGTAACTCCAAGTCTACAAGGGAAAAGCTTAAGTTTCCAAGACATTGTGGAATAGTTCCAACGAGATTATTCTTAAACAAGCTGAGACCTTGAAGTGACCTCACATTGCAAATTGAGGAAGGGATGTCTCCAACTAAATTATTGTCTGAAACCATGAACCATCTCAATGAAGGTGGTGGAGATGGAAGTTGTCCTAGGAGCAAATTTGAACAAGATTAGGAGTTTGAAGATTCTAATTTAAAAGAGGTTTGCTCCGAAAAATGTAAATAAAATATTGTGATCTTTTTTCTTTAGCAAGAAAAATAACTCTTTTACATGCCCTTGTAGATTTGGAACTTTTTCCATGATACCTAGGCCAATTATTATTTTTTTATTTGAAATTGTTAGAATTGAATTCGGTAAATCTGATAAGTGAAATTAATAATTTAACAATCTATCAACAGCTTACATAGGTATAAGTTAAATTAGAAAATTATAGTTGAGGATAAAACTATGAAAAGCAATTACTTCACTAATTATTTATATTATGTATTCTATGTCAAAATTTAATCTAACAAAAAGGAAAGCTCTAATAAGAAATGTTTAAAATACTTTCTAGGGACAAATAATTTTCTCTTACATGTACTAAATTTTTATTAATTACTTGAGTTGTGTTAAAGAAAACTTCTAATAAAGTCATATTTATATTAATTTGCTCTTTCAATATCACACAATTAGTACTATAATTTTGAAATCTAAATCCTTATTTTCAAATTCAGACGTAATTGAAAGAATTTCTGACATGTGGAAACCTGATAAAAAAAGGAATGGAGATGATACTATACCTGTGAAATTGTTAGAGGGAAGAAACAGTACACCAAGAAAACTCATGTTTCCAATAATTGGTGGAATTTCACCTGGAAAACGAGTTTAAATCATCCATTATAGGTTAAAATTTTCCTACGATAAAGTACTGCAACAAATAAATAAATAAATAATTAATTAAGAAGGCCATTTTTCAATCGAGCACTTGTGAGAAAAGAGGTGTTCTAATCTTCTTAATTTCCATTTATTTTTGCATTATAATTTTTGAAAATCCTAGTTATAGCTCAAAAGGAGAAATCAAAATTTCCTAACAATGGCTAGTATGGCATTTTTCAAATATGTAGCATTGAATATCCAAAAGACTTAAGTTGAATTAGTTTTCAAAAAGCCTTTGGTTATTGTAAATAAACAAAAGTTCTTGTTTCCTTTTTAAAGCAAAATGAATTTTTTAGCTTTTTCATTTTTTGTTTTAGTAAGTAATAGTTACTTTTGAACATATAAAAGAAAAATTTTCCAATCCAAGTGACCAAACATAAGCACGATGAAAAGATAAAACTTTATTAGATATTTTATTTTATTTTATTTTATTTTTTGCTAACGCATAACATAAATAGTATAGCAAAATGATACATAAATTGAGCACAAGGCTTACCCTAATTACTTCGTATAATCATTTTTTAAAAAAATAATATTTAACAAATTTGAAACTCAAATTCTAACATGTGAATTATTTTTTACTCTTACCAAACTATGACCACTTTGTATTAAAAAAAATACACTAATTCACACTAGCAAGCTTCAAAAACTTTAGACAAAGTATCTCAAAGTGATAAACAAGTTCAAAGTGGCCAAAAGATCACAGCCACAAACTAAATGTTTAATTTATAAAAGAATATTTGAATTCAAGTTTTTGTTATACATAAAATTTTAGATGAAAATTGAAATTAAAAACAAAAATGTAAGCATTATTATAAGAATGAATTAATGTTTTACCTTGGAAGTTGTTATGGTCGAGAGCCAACTCCGTAAGCCAAGTTAAATTCCGGATTTCTACCGGCACAGTCCCCTTCAATTGATTGTAGGACAAATATAGGTATTGTAACTCTTTGCACTTGAATAAACTTGTCGGAATTCTTCCGGAAAATTGATTCTGACTCAAGTCAAGCGATTGTAATTCAGAAAGGTGATTAAACATATCTGATGAGAGATGACCTGAGAAGTTGTTTTTCCCTAGCTGAATTACTTGCAATGTAGAAATGTTGAAGATTGAGGAAGGAATGGAACCTGAAAACATATTATTATTCAAACTTAATTAGTTTTTGTAAGGTAGATAGATAGTAGATCATACTCTAGCTAACAGAAATTAATTGAATGTCTATTAATGAACAATCAAGGCACAATGTTATTTAGAAGCATTAATTTAACATTGCTATTTAGATTCAATCAATATATAGTTGATTTTATCTATGTTGAGGAAAAATGACAAACCTTGAGCATTCATGTAATACTAGTTTATTCTACACATGCATTGCACATGGATGAAATAATACTTTGATATCATTATTTAAAATATCATCCATATATAAAAGTGTGAACTCTAAAAGTATTAAAAGTGAACGACATAAATACCTCTATGAATTTTAAGAAATAATAAATTTACCTTTAAATTTCTAGCATTTTTTATTTATTTAATAAAGATTATTTGTCATTAAATATATAACTTTTATTAGTTAGTTATTTAAATTAAATCTAAAAGTGTTAAATATGAATAACATAAATATCCTTATAAATTTTAAAAATTAACACATTTATATTTCAATTTTTAGCATTATTATTTATTTAATAATGATTATTTGACATTAAATATATAGCTTTTTATTCATTACTTATTTAAATTTAAATCAATTAAAAATTATAAAATTTATATCAAATTAAACTACATTAAAATTTATTTGTAGGATATGGTGGATCTATTGTCCAAAATTAACTCAAATTAACTCTCATATTTATTTTTAGAATTCTTTTTGTTAAATTTCATAAGTAATAATTCAATCAAATTCATATAATACATTTCCATCCTATAGCCTATGATATACTATGAGTTCGTGATTTTGAGCGAAATATAGACAAATCTTTTCTTTATTTCTCAATTACTAATTGTTTTAGTCTAAATTATTAGACCATAATGTGTATGCCATCAAACATTTAAACTTTATCTCAAGTAAAGCATATAATTTTTCATTTTTAAGATGCAATCTAATTTACTCTTTATCTTTTTTAATGGTTTATATGATGAGTCCTTAAATATATTTATATTTTTTATTTATTTAATTTAGATTAATTAAAATTAAATTTCATATAAAATTATAAATTAAATTATCAAAAAATTATTAAAAAAAGAGTAATACATGTATTATGGTAAGTTTATATGCTTTTTTTATGATAAATATACATTTACATGTTTGATGATTGCAATGGTTGATTATAATATTTCTAATCACTCTATGCAATCACACCTTAACATTATAATGCTTAAATGAATCTTTACTTTATGAACATAATCTCATGTACTCTTGAATTGTCACTAAACTTAGTTTTTATTTCATCTTTTATAGATTGATTCTATACTACACCCAAATTAATTTCGGTCTATCCTTATTTTTTATACGTAATTTCAAATATTTAGTACTTAAAAAAAATTTTATGAAACCAAATACAATATTGGTAAGAAACATTAATATTGAAGAAAGAAATTATTTAATATATTGATAGTTAAGTTTTTTTTATTTCCATAAGTGGGTTAAGAAAATAACCCATCACTCACTTTTTTTTTTCAATTAGTTTTTTTTTTAATATACTCTAAAACCTAAAAAGTATATATCATGCTGCTAACTTCATTTGTGAAATTTAAAATAATATTATCAATATATTTTATTATTTTTTCTTGAAAAATATGAATTTATTATTTTCAATTAATAATACTCTAACATATTTTTGTGTTTTGATAGTAAAAAATATTGATTAATTGTGTGTGTTTTGTTGAATGATCAAAGCATTGTTAGTTCTCTAACTAATTATTATATTCTTTGAAACATTAATGTTATAGTTCATTTCATTTTATTTGTTTATATACTTAGGTCATATTTGATATACAAAATTATGAGAATATAGGATAAGATATATTATGAATAGGATTAGATTAAATAATATCATCAAAATTTGTGTTTGATGTATGCAAGGATTATGATAAGATAATTTATTTATTTGTCAAAATTATCCTTCCTCAAAATTTATATAATTTAAATTATTGATATAATTTTTAAAGGTATAATTGGACATGCAAGTTTAATCCCATGGATTAAATATAATCCTCTTCATTTTTGGAGGATTGAATAATCTATGCCAAGAGGATATTAATTCTCCTCATAATCCATATCCCTTTCCTTAGATACAAATAAAATATAATATAAAATGATTATCATCTTATTCTATTAATAATTCTATGCATCAAACATGGCCTTAAAGTATATAATTATTGATTTGAATTCTTATCATGAAAGTATCCATTTAATAATTATTTGTACTCTTATGAGTGTGTTTATTATACATAAATACAAATATCATCTTGATATATGCATAAAAAAATGTGAACTACAAACATATTAAAATGATTTTTTAATTTGGTAGACTCCTATTAATAATACACTACATGCCAATCATGCATATTTAAATAATTCTTCAATTCATAAAGAATGGAAGACTTATAATTGAACTCATTAGTCACATTATAAAAAATTTGAAGTATGAGGTTGTGGAATAAAACATATCTATTTATATAGTCTTGCAATTAAGATAAAAAATTAACTCAATTGATAAAATAACATTATATATATATGTATATATACAAAAACAAGATAAATGAATCAATTAATATTTCATATAGATCCTCAAATTACTAAATTAGTCTTTTTATTATTCAGTTGGTCAATATATCATAATATATATGAAAATGATTAAAAATGTATTAGATTATAGATGATATCATGACCTTAAATTTTTTAATTAATGTGTAAAAAGTGCCCTATTTGGAATTGAGCCAACTTTACTATAAATAGTTATTTAAATTTTATCTAAAATTTAGAAAAACTGACAAACATGTGCATATTTTAGATTTTATAGCTTACTTTGAATGGGACATTTTATAATTAAGAAGATGTTTCATATATATCTATATTATATATAATATGTGATAATTTACTAAATTATCTCTACTTATTTCTATTTAATTTTTTTTAGCAAATTAAAATATTGTCTACTTTTTATTTAGTTTCTTGTTAAAATAGTTTTTCTTGGTTAAGTCATTCATGCCCCACTTAAAGTAAGCAATACGGCTAGAAGATTTAAAATAATTTTTTTACAGATGAATATTTTAATGTTTGTAATACATTACGTCTATTAATATGTTTTACACAATTAATTAACTATAGAGGATTTAGTGTTAAATAAATTATAACCATGATAGTAAATGTATCATATTCCCTCTGTCTTATTTTCTTTGTCCATTTTTTTAGGATGTCCCAAAATTATGTCTTATTTTCTATTTTAAATATCTATACTCTTACATTTTATATTTTAAATTATTTTTAATGATTTTGTTTTTACTTTTTAAACATTAAAAATTCATAAAAACTTTAATTTTATAAAAAATTAATTTTAATATTAAATATATTAAAGTTAAAAATATTTTTCTTAAACTATGTAAAAATCACCACAAGACAAACAAATAAAGGCAAGAAGAGTCATATAGTAGCAAAATTATTGATAATGATAGTTTAGACAATACCAAGTAATAACTTTATATTAAATCAATGATACTATATATTAAATTATGGATAACTTATTAGTAATTATTATAACATAATAGTAAATAAATAATAATTTAATAGTACATAATTGGTAAGATAGATGTATGTCAGGGATAACATAATAATAAATACATAATAATATAATAGTAAATAACAAATAACTTAATAGTAAATTATTTATACATAATGTAATACATAAAAATAAAGTAGTAAATTAAGGATAGTTTAATAAAAGTAAGTGATACACTTAATAGTAAATCAATGATAACTAGTAATAATTAATAATAAGTTAATAGTAAATAAGATTCAGTTTAATACTTCCTCCATCCCACATAATTATCACATTTTTATTTTTGTTGGTCATTTTTTAACTTTAATCACTTATTTTTTATATTATTATTGATAAAAAATCTGAAAAAATACATTTTTAAAACTTTAAATGAAGTGGTTTTCTAAATTATATGTTTTATAAAATAAATTTATTAAAATATTTTAAAATAATAGATTTCAAAATTAAAAAATTTAACAAAGAAGTTAATTGGGATAGATAAAAAGAGAAATAATTAATTGCAAATTTAACAGTAAATCATAAACACTTAATATAAGTTAATGATAATTTAGTAGTAAATAATTTAGAACTTAGTAATAATTAATAATTGAAAATTAAAATAAATCAATATAACTTAATAGTAATCATTGATAAATTAATAGTTAATCAGTGATAATTTAGTATAGTAAATTAGTGATAACTTAATAGTATATCAATAATAATTTAATAGTAAATAATTGATAACTTAGTAGTAAATTAATAATAATGTAATATAAATGCATAATAATTTAATAGTAAATCAATATAACATAATTGTAAATGCATAATAGCATAGTTGTAAATTAATGATAACTTAATAAAAAATAAATGATAATTTAATAGTTAATTATTGATAATTTAGTAGTAAATCAGGAAACTTAGTAATAATTACTAATAACTTAATAGTAAATCTATTTTAGTTTAATAGTAATTAAATTATAAACTTAGGCAGTAAATCATAAATAACTTAGCAATCAATCAATGATAATTTAATAGTTAATCCACTAAAACTCAGTAATAATCAATGATAACATAGTAGCAAATGCATAATAGTATATAGTAAATTGTTGATAATTTAATAGTAAATTATTGATAATTTAGTAGTAAATCACTAATAATGTCATAGTAAATCATTGATAACATAGCTGTAAATTAGTGATAATTAGTTTATAAATTAATGATAATTTAATTGTAAATTAGTTAATTATTAATAACTTCATACTAAATCATCAAAACTTCATAATAAATTAGTTAATAACTTTATAATAAATTATCTATAACTTAATAGTAAATTATCAATATTTAGTAGTAAATTGTTTATAATTTAATAGTAAATCATTTATAACTTAGTGATAAATTAATGATAATTTAATATAATCAGTGATAAGATAGTAATAAGTATTGATAACTTATTGTTTAAT